ATTCTTGAATTGGATTTTTATGAGCTAAAATTATAAACCGTACTCATAAGTTAACGGTTACTTCGTATTATATTGTCTAGTTGAAGTTGTTAATAATATACGACAGAAATATTGCATCAAGAGATTTGATGTTCTCTTTAAAAGCACAATCATTAATTAGTGAAACAATTCCTAAGTTAAAAGACTGGATCTCTGAAACAAATTTTAAATTCAATTTTATTTTCTCTAAGAAGCAATTATAAGCCTTTAATAAAATAAATTCACGTTTCAGATAGTACATCTATAACATAATAAGAATAAATGCTATGTTTAGTCTTCTAGGTAAGTGAGCATACTTGCCTTTATCAAATTGATTTCGTACACTCATATAAGTCTTTAACCTTTACATAGTAGTTAGAGCCTTGAAATAAATAGCTAGTACGTCAAGCTGGCTTCAATGGCAACTGTACGCTATGAGGAAAATTCTTACCGAATTGGAATTGATTAAATGATATAACACTGTCTTACAAGCATATTACATTAAAAATTTCATATTCTTTAAATATGAACAATAAATTATTAAATGATAATTTTCAGCTCAAGGGATAATTAATTGTCGATCCTTCGCTAAACTGAAGGAATTGCGGTTTGCTTATAGGATGATAAACGCAATTTCCGCTATACATACTTCATTGTTTCAAAATGAGCTTTCGCTATTGCTATTTAGCTTCATTAATGTGCATTTACAAGAATATTAATTAATTCAGTTTTGGTTACAGTAGCATATTTATTTAAGTATCAATCTGCATAACAGCTATATATTAGAAGTTAATGATAAAATGTTTACCTCAATACTTCGTTGTGGTATGTAATTCCTTGCCATGTATTAATTATCGGCCATTTACTTTATTTGTAAGAAAATTATTCCACTCATTGGTAGGAGTGATCTGCTATTCGTAAAATTTTAATATCATTAAGATAAAAAACGGAATGGGTAAGGATTATAGAAATTGCAACTCAAACTTTAGCTCTACAGAACTTTTCAGAAAATTTCTAGCTAATCTTCTTTATTAACAGTAGAAGAGTTTCGAAAACGTCAGAATAATGTATAGATAATGGTCGAGTTATGATTTGATGACGAGAAAATTGTCAGCCAAGTGGTGTAATTTTCGATTTAGTAATAGACTTATTAATCGATTCTGAAGGCTTTAAGTTAGCTACGTCTTTCTTTGCTCCAAATGAATAATTGGTTATGCTATTCAGCATACTTTGCTTCGAATTTAGTTCAGGCCGAAAATAAATAATATAAACTTTGGGTACGAATAAGCATAGGAATGGCGGCCCACTTAGTAGCAATGCAGTCAATGCAGCAATACTATCTGCCGTTTGGCCGGATAAAATGATGGTAACAGGGAAGCAACATAAACCGAAAACTGTAATCATTACTGATGAAAGATAAATATGCTTGGATTCGTTAAAGTTATCCGGTAATGATCGCGTTTTATATGCCAAATATGTACAGGCTATACCTATTATAGCCATCCAAATTAATAGATTGATATCATTATAAGAATTTAAACCGTGGCAATAAAATTCAATTTGATTGTCTTTGGTGACAGCTTTGAAAACTATAAATGGATGAGCAAGGGTTAAGCATAGCAGAATTCCGTTGACTACAACTAAAACGCCAAAAATGATTAAAAGCTGATTCCTGTTCTTAGTTAAGATTGCAAATTTGCTTTTTCTTCTAACTGATCTTTTAAATATTATGAAAACTTGATTGACTTTACAAAATATGGTGATGTATGTCCCTGTGACATACGTAGTCATTAGAAATGCCCTTAGATTGCATACTTTATAGCTTGGAGGAAGTAGATGTAGCAATGAAGCTGGAATACTTAACGCGAAAAAGAAGAGTAAAACATTCATCAGGACAAAGTTAGATCCTTTAATAATCGGTGTTTGTCGGTGGAGAATAATAGTAATCCAAATGAAAAGGAGACATAAGCAATAGACTGTTATTAAGGTGAGAATAATGATTATCATTGGACTTCGATAAAGTACATGCCCGTAGATTAAGGATAACGGTAAGCATTTCGTTTTATTCCTATTCGGTCGGGTAAAAGTTGGACATTCGGTACAATGTAGCTGGTTTGTCATATTCGATACGGTTTGCATTGGGCATGGAAGACAGCGCCAGCAACAAGCCATGATATCTTGCTTTATGTTAGAATCCTGATATACATAATGGCCTGGAGGACAACCTGGCGAACATCGCGAAATAGGTATATCATACCATGATCGCTTACCATTCCAAATTATTTTTTTAGGATCAACTCGCAGACCTTGCTTTTTATTCCAAGAGCCAATTTTAATGGCTGATACACCAAATTCATTTTGATCAGCTATAGCTTGATAATTTATAATATCAAATGTCGATCCGACGTTGCCATTTTCATCGAAATTGAATTCCTTACTAGAAATGCTAGTGAATTTAACTTTACTTAATATATCATTAAATGATTGTTTCATTAGATTCCACTGACTTGGTGGAGGGCAACTAGTCGAATTACACCCTAAACCTTGATGAAGAGCATGACCAAAAGCTAATACTGCATCCATAACTAATATTGATATAGTATTTAATACGTAGAAAGGATCACGAATTTGAGGTATTATGTGAGCTAATTGATGGCATGGACGCATCATTTTACCTGGACGATTTGGCCTAGTAGATAATATCTCATCCCAAATTTTTAAAAACCAAGGATTTACTTTATTATTGCAAAGGTTGAGTTGGAATAAATATTTGTCAAATCCACTGATAGCTTCACTATCAGAGGAAATACCAATTGCTCCTCCAATAATATCAGCGTTAATTGTCATGATCTTTGACGAATGCATCCAAGTATAAGTGCCAATAAAAGTTTTACCGGAAAAATTTCGATTCTGAGCTTCTTTGAAAAATTTGAATATTGCATGTTCATCACCTAATACCACTACCACTTGAGAGCGTGAATCTGATTTCATCTTCACGACAATATTCTTGAGTTGATTAGAAGTAGAATTTTGGTAAATCCGATATATGGCAGAATAGCATATCTTATGCGTATGATACGCATTAAACCGACTATTGCGAATCATGTTTTCGTCATCAGTTTCAGAGACTACGAAAGAGATCCAATTCCATTCAAATCTATGAACGATATCAAAGATATTTTGCATCTGAACTGAATGAGAGATGGAAGTACGGTAAAAGTATCGATAAATTAAGCGATCATTCAGCGAGTTGTCGAAGGAATGATAACTAATTTGAGGAATTTTGATGCTGCTAGTTAAAGCCGCCGTTAAAAGTGTAATGGCATTTAATTTAGCGCCAATAACACCCGCAATTGAATTTTCTCGAAGCATTGGACTACTCATCGTTTTTTGAAGTAGATCTATTACGGTATCGACGTTAGTTTCTGTTAATGAGTCATTATTGCGAGATAATATTTGATGATGTCCTTGCATGATGATATTGGAAATAACATTGGCCAAAGTAATATCAGCAGATGAACACGAATCGAGCAATGTCCATCCCATAGTAATGCCTGGTAATAGCGAGGGATTCCGATTTATCAAGTAATCAATCGCATAAATCATGGCTTGAGTATACTGAACATCCTTATGCCTAAGATGCATGCATTGATCTGCTGTTTTGTTATATGTTTCTGAATTTGCAAAAATACCCAACAACATGATCTGACCGGGCTTCATAGTATATTGAAGTGAATTTTGCTTGCTTTCCGCCAAACTCCAGATATGGCATAGCAAGACTAGAACAATCTTCAAATGTAAATACTCGATGCATTTAACTTTCATTTTTCTCCGACTGCTACGAAAGATTTAAAAGCTTTACACACCGACTGTTGTTACAAAAATTTCCCAAGTTAGAATATTTCAACAAAGAAGAGGCTAACGACTTCTCTTGATTTTAAATGTTATAGTTTTAGATTGCAAAGTAATTTATTGCAATACTTTGATGATACACACCTGGGCTAAAACTATTTATTTATCCAGAAATAAAAGTTGCAGATGTGATCTTAAGTACAATCTATTTAGCTTTTATGATTAATAATTAGTAGCACAAATTTAAGCTTTAATTATACCCTTGATTAATTAATATCTCCTAATAAAGGAACCTAAAATAGTTAAGCATTCCGGCTTTGATATACGAAATGTTTACATTTAAAGCGATCTTTAACTTGATACATAACAAAAGCGTAAATGACATACATTGATATTTTTAAGAGACCTACTTAGAGAGAATTTAGAAATGCGTAATTACATCACAAAATTGATGTTTACGGATGCATAGTACTTTCCGTAAAAATAATGAATAATATCTGGCCATTTTAAATAACTGAGCAGACAGCTAGCTCTACCTACAATTTATTAAAATGATAACTTTAAATTATCATTTCTACCTATACAATTGATGCCATATTAAAATTTATATTAGGGCATTAAATAATGCTTTGGAAATGGCAGGTATTAAAGGAAAGCATTTAAGTTCATAAATGTAACTTAATTTAGTAACTCTGATAAAACGAGTATAAAATTTTAAACTAGGTAGAAAGTTAGAACATTATTAGATCTTCATATAAAATTACACTACACCCAGCTCCACTCTAGCTGATTGCAATTTTTAGACAGAACTAATAATCTAATTTTACCTGCTTGTACACTCTTCGTAACATTTGCAGCTACTATCAGTATAGCAACGTTCTACCTTATATTAAAATAATGCTGATTAATTATTATTATTAAAAATATTTTACGGTCGATCACCTATATCAAATATAGAAATAGCTTCAGTATTTACCTAGACGTTATTTCTGCCTGCCCAAGTACAATGAATTATCCATATCTAAATATACTCGTATATGTATAGTGGATAAGTTCTTAGATTCGCAATCCTATAATTTTAAATTTGAGTTATCAAAGTATAGTTAATCTCTAATGTGTTACAAACAGTCTGCACAGTATTTTATTGACTTTAAAGGTAGCATTTATTGCATCCGTTAGCCGTAAAAGAATTTTAATTTCTTCTTGTCATAAGAACAGTCATAAATGGCTAAAATTAAACCCGATATTAGCTTGTATCAAACAATTTAATACGAATTATACACATTTGTACAATGCCTAATAACAGTTCTTAATATGGCTATTATCTACAGCCTTATAGAACGCAAACTGTAGTATATGAGAGTTGTTTATCATATCAGTTATAATTTACAATTACTTCATTAAGGCATACAATTCTGTACTGCACTACTATCACTGTTTTCCTTAACATATAAATACTGTGAATAATTAAAATCATTACGAAATAACCTCTATTTTTACCTCTAGAATCAATCGTAACTCACTGCCCTACCGCATATGATCATCAGTGCTTTAAAATAAAATCTTCAGTTGAAGTCTATGGCTATATGCTACTAAATACAAGCAATGCTACCGTACAGTATGTTTTATATGGCTCATACTAAGTTACTTTATAGTTCAACCTATCAAAATTATGCAGTATCAACAGAATTATCAATAGCACGAATCAATGAGAAAGTACCGAAGAGACTTTGTCGACACGGTCTATAAAACTTTCATTACTGACATCAGGCTATTAAATCTTTATGGATATTTCATTATGGAATTATGACTAAAATGTTGACTAGGATGATTGAAGATTGCTTAATTAAAACTAAATAGACTTCACTAGATAGGAGAAATGTTAAAAAAAGAAGGCTAAAAAAGTCTTAATTTCTACCAAGCTTAATCAAATTATTATATATAATTAGATTATTTCATAACAACGGTTACCATCTCTCACAATTTCACTTCTTCGACTAGGTAACGTACAGTAAAAGTCTATAAGTAGCTACTGACTTAAACGCACTTTTGCCTAACGTTAAACATACACAGTAAAATACAGTAACGATGAAACTTTTATTAACAAAAATACATCTTCAACTTTTACCACCCCACTCAACTCAAATGTTCCCGTTTACATAGGAACCGTCTAATTTGTAAACAACAACAGTATTTTTATTATACCTTACTAGGAGAAACATCTCGAGTTGAGATATTCCTTACATAGCTTTTACATTAGTAAATATTTTGAATCTCTTACTCATACTTAATCTTAATCTAAGTTCGTAGGTTGTCTAATTCAACTATCATCAACTAGAACTTGAATCATCTTACTGCTATCTATCACACAATAAAAATCAATATCAAATATGTAATGAACGATTACAAACAACATCCACGTTAAGGCATTACTTATCTTACCTAGCGCTACAAATATGGATATTCTCCATACTAGCTACTACTGTACTTATTAAACTATCCTAAAGACAAGGCAACACCGTCACACCATCAATTTACGAAATTAGACATTTCTAAAATTTTTGAAATTATAGTAGAATATCAAATAAGTAGTTTATACGTATAATTATCTGATTGCAGATATAGAAAGTACTGTATGTGATCTCCGAGTTCTTTCTCCTATTCTCGCAACATATCTAGTCGTATTTATACATCACTCATCCCAGAATACACTTAGCTGCTGGACGATTTTTGATCTTGACTATTAGAAGGTGGAGGTGAACCAATACCTGGTTCAATATTCCCAGAGGTAGGATATGGCTTGATGGTATTAAAGTTATAATTTGTAATACTAGCCATTGTTTCTTGTCGAGTGTTTAATTCTGATCGAAAGTAGATAATGTACATTTTGGGAAGAAATAAACACAATAGTGGCAATAGCCCGAAAAAAAGGATAGAAAGTGCCATAACTTGATTGGCATGAACACTAGGAATGACCAACGCTGTCGAAATAGTACAAAAACTAACAGCTACGATCAATATTGATGTCAAATAAATATATCTAGACTCATTAAAATTTTCAGGTAACGAACGTGATCTGAACGCTAAAATTAAACAAGCCGTACCAATTATTCCTAACCATACTGACAAATTAATCGCGCTAAAATTATTCGGAATTTTACATCGCAATTGCATTTTCTGTTCTGGTGCCTGTATCTGTTCAACACTAATGGGTAAAAGTAAATTTAAACACAGTAAAATTCCATTTACAATAGCTAATACGATAAAAATAAGCATCGCTTGGCTACTATTTCGAGTAAATCGTACAATCCTTGCTTTCTTGTAGACGGCATTTTTAAAGATTAAGGATACTTGGTTAGTTTTGCTAAATATGGTTATAAATATGCCGACTTGGGCAGTCGTCGATGCAAACATTCTTAACCGACAAATTGTGGCTGACGAAGGCAATAGATAAAGAAACGAGGCAGGAATACACGCCACGAGAAAAAAAAGCAACAAATTTGTTAATATGAAATTTGAACCTTTGACGACAGGAGTGTGCCTATAAATAATCATAGCTATCCAAATGATGACAGTAGCAATCAAGTAGAATGCGGTTATGACATAAAATGTAATAGATATAGAGCTGCCAAATTCGAACTGAGCAAACGGAAGATCAATGCATTCTGTATGATTAGAGTTTGATTGAGTTAAACTAGGACAACGTTTGCAATTATGAGAATTTGTGATATTGGAAATCATATTGCTAGGGCATTTTTGACATTCCCAGCAGCAGGGGCGCATTGATAGTGAAATATTTTGATCATGATATAGGTAATACCCGGAAGGACAATCGCTAGAACATCTTGCTATCGGAATATCGCTCCATGATTGCTTTCCATTCCAGAAAATTTTATCCTTTTTAATAACTAAACCTTGTTGCTTATTCCAATATCCTATTTTAACACCTTTAACTTTTCTTCCTGGGATAGACGTTTCCTCTTGTAAATTAGTTATGTCGAAGGAAAACTGGATTGCACCATCAGATTGAAATGCTATATCTGGACTAGTAAATCCAGAAAATTGTATCTTACCAAGAACTTTATTAAGTTCTTGAAGATTGAAAATATTTTTTCGTTGATTTAGACAGTAGGTTTCATTGCAACCCAGCAAGTTGTGTAATGCTTGTGCAAATGCTAAAGCTGAATCGATAACATGTCCAGAGATAAAATCGACTACGTAGTGCGATTTAAGATATTCTTTTAAGCTAGGATTGACTGTACAATTTCGCATGGTTTTATGTGCATTTACTCCCATGTCCGTTAATTTTTGATGCCATAATTGTAGAAACCAAGGATTTTGCTTGTTGTTACAAAAGTCCAGTTGGTCAAGGTAGTCAGCAAATTTGAGCAATGAATTACTATTAAATGTTGAGCCTATTGCGCCTCCAATTATATCGGCTCTAATAGTATGGACCCTAGCTGAACTCAACCAGCCATAAGTACCCAAGAACGTTTTTCCTGTTATATTATAAGCTTCAGCTTGTTTAAGTAAATCATAAATGATCGGTTCACTACCGAATAATGCTATCACTGACGACTTAGATTGATTTTTCCATCCAAGGACAATCTCTTTTAAATCCGATATCGTATAATTATCATAAATTTTTGCCAAATCTTCAAAACATATACCAACATCTTGTGAGATTAAAGGAAGAAAGGCTGCAGAATTGTCTATCATAACGGTACCGGCAATAACAACAGATATCCAATTCCAATTAAAGAATTTTATCAGGTCAAAAATAGCCCGCTTATGTACTCTTGCTGCGGCAGAAATACGATAAAAATAGGGAAAAAGATCACGATTACTTAGCAGTGAAGCGAAGGAACTATAGCTAATTTGAGAGTAACCAAGACTACTAGTAAGCGAAGCTAAAGAAATTGTAATAGAATCTGTTCTTTCACCGATAATCCCAACAACTTGTCCACCTGGAACGGTTGTACTGTTAATAAAGGATTCACTACATATGTTGTTTGTAACAGTGTTAAAAACATTTAAATTTTCATATTGTGCTAAAGTAGCTCGGTGTTGAATATCTTGTACAAGAACAGCAGCTAGTTTTGCCGTAGCTCTTTCTCGTGACGAACAGGCATCAATTAAGTGATAGCAAAGTCTGATACCAGGCAATAACGTGGAATTAGAATTGATCAATTTATCTACGGCATAGATCATAGCTTGTGAATATTGTATTTCTATCGGCTTTAGTCCTTCACATTGTTGAGTAGTAACATTAAAGTACAAGGAATTGGAAAAAATACCAATTAGCTGAAAATCGCACGATCTACGTAGCGCTAATTGCGATGAACCACGACAGACTTTACTGAAAAAAGACTGATGTATGATAGATAAGTTTAATAGTGTAGCAATCCAACTTGAAATGCTTGAATATTTCATGATTGATATTATCCAACTAAATCAGTATCAGGATATTCTATTACTGTATACGATCCAAATCTCTAACACAAATGAAATGTATTTTACCAGGAACCAAACAGAAGCATATAAACACTGTAGGCTAGTACAATAAATTGATGTTTTATTGTGACGTTGTAGGGATCGTTTCGTCGTTAATTAAAATTTTAATTAGTAGTCTCGCCATTGAATGGAAAGTAAACCATAAGGGCCATAGTAGAAACAACAGTAATGATGACTTACTACTAATGCAATTATGTGACATTGTATCTTTAAATTAAAATCTTGAATGAAACATCAAGGATCAACGTTAGTATTCAATTAAGGAAATCATAATACAGTTCAAGCCCTTATTCTGTTAGGACTAGATGATATTAGGTTAGTAATTTATTTTATTTTATGTTGTCACTGTTGGTGATCTTGTACTAGTTTATCACCAATTTCTAGATATAGAATATATCTAATAATAGGTATTTGTAGATTCTGTGAGTTGGAATACATGTATAATGCTTTTGCACTAGAACGATGACAGAGGAGCAGTAATTGCATAGGAACATCATTAATTAATAAAATTCAAGGGCATTAAAAAATCAGTAGCTATTCGATTCTTAAATTTCGTTGCTAGCGATATAATTTTCAATAATTTAAGACAGCAGTTAGCCAGTTTATGATTTTTGCTCTAAATTAACATTAATCGAAACAAAGTAAGACTGACTTAAGACTTTAATTGTTAATTGAAAAGCTAATTGCCTCTATTAGATACAATAGAGAAGTCTATTCTAAGTATTCTAGCATCCTTGATAGATAACTAAACTTTTATTTTTATAAACGTAAACCGTATAGTGATAAAGTATCTTCAAAATAGTAGAATATGAACAAGTGTTTCTCGTAAAATTTATTTTTTGTAGCATAAAATGTGATTTGTCTAAAATCACAAGCTGGCTATCTTCAGTTTTACATGTTTCCACACACTTCAACGAAATCCATCGTTGAAGTACAACTGGTTACACGCCTATTTTAGGTAACTCAATCATATCTCATTGATATAGTCGCAAAATCAAGAAAAAGTTCAATATCGATCGATCTATTGTGAATAACCTTTACTAATTAAGCCATCACGATGAATTCTTCATAATGTCAACTTAGTGCAATCGTCAAATATCTAATAGTCGCAAACTATATTTATGGCTGCAAAAGTCAACTATCCGTATCGTAATTATATCACCTTAGAACAGATATTAGTACAATCGTACGATCGAACGTCCAATTTCAATTACTTTCCTGCAATTTTATAGTCTTTTAATCGCAAGCTAATTGAGGACCGTATCGTACACTCCAAAAAATCAAGTTAATTCCAGCGTAAATGGGCTTAGTCAGAATTATGAAAACTGCGATCAATCTCAAGTTGCCAATGTATCTGTTATAGTCATTCATATTTCATGCGATTCTTATGCGATCCATTAAGTCCAGCAATAAATCGCATATTATTTTCAAGTATGGAAGTCTAGAACGTAAGAAACGCTCGAAATCATAGCGGCAATGATTTAAAAGGTTTGTCTTAGTCCGATGAATTATAGTATATAAGTTTACAACACACCTTCAGTACGGAAGCCTTAAGTGATGATTTAATTAAGACGCTAGACAGATGGATTGTATAGATAATAATAATTTTATGCTGGTCTATTGCAGTCGAATTTTAAAATGTATGTCATGACCAAGTATTAGTCTTTTACTGTAACTATAGGTTCGCGACCTCCAACTCTTAATGTGAGTTGTTTAAGTTGAACAAATCCTTTTGATACGCAATAAACCGTCACAACCGAGAGAGCAGTTTTAAAACCTCATTTACTATTCCGTTGTGACAGTGCTATATACTGTATTAGAGTAAAAATATCTATGTTAGGATAATTCTGCTAGACTATCCTTATTTGGTTAACTTCTAATTTGGATATACTGTGTGTTAATATAGCACTGACTTTTTATGACAGTGACACTTATACACATACTGAAATTAATAGTTATAATAGGGAATGCAAATCATCTGCTTACAGTTCGAATCATTGTGATTGTAATTTACTTATGGTAGATTGTAAATTATCATGGAAATGTTCCGAGATAGGACATATCGTAATCTGGCTATTCCGTATTAGTCATTACATGTCTATGTTCATAAATCCTGTTGTCTGCATTAAGGGAGCAGTAGCTAAAATTAATATCTAGTTCAGTAAATGATTCCAATGTTAATTGTATTAACTACGACTCTTGAACTGTTGAGGAATAGTATATAAATGCAGTATATCGTGTAATAAAGTGGATTCTGAAACTTAGTGTTTAACGTAAAATACGAGGCGTCTAAGTCTTTGTGTAGTCTGCTAGTAGAGCAAAAGTGTTTGTGATAGAGCAGATATCGTTCCTTGATACGTGGTTCAAGGAATTGACTTATTGATCGCACATTACGTTATCTTGTTCCAAAGCTGTTTCGTGACATCCGTCTATTCGTGAGAGTGAATTCAATGTTCACCTCTCATATAATCGGTCGAAAACGGTCAAGATGAAACCTTGATACGATAGAATGATAAATTTAGATTCATTCGCAGTTTTTGGTAATGAACAAGCAGATATAACTTTTATAGCCTTACCATTAAATTAACGATATTTTCCTGATTCGAAATGTAGTACTATAATTGAAGTCGATTTTATGGAGCATAGTCAAATACACAGAACCAAATTGAGATAGGGGAAAATGTCACCAATAATTGCTTTTGCAACGACAATCAGTATAACTTTACAACTGCTCTGAATAAAACAACAATGCATGCTTTCTTTTCGAGAGTTTCTTAAATCTTAAGAATAAATTATTTGTTTTACAAAATAGGGTTATAGATATATTGGCTTGGTGAGTAGTCCATGTAAATACTCTTACTTTGCTAGTCAAACTTGACAGAGGTATTAAATGAAGAATTACCGTTAAATACTCCCTGTTACGAACGATAATAGAACGCTAACTATAATGAAATTAGATTCCTTAATTGCTGCTATATCTATGCGAACGATTATAGGAAATGAGTATTTTACTGAAAAATTTGAAGCATGTTTGGCAGTAATGTAGATTCGTAAGCATTAGAAGATCATATTGTAGAATTACTCTCGATATATTCAATGATATGAACGTGTATAATTAATGATGGTAAGATAGTTTGATCTTGATATATATTGCATCTAGAAGAATGGTATTAATAATGCCTCAACAAAGGTACTTCAAGCCGTGAGCGAGTTTCATTCCATGTTATTTTCTATTCATTTAATAAACAAAATGAGACCAAAGCAACTCCAATTTATTTCATTATCTTATGTAATAATTTTAACTTTCGATAATGAAATTGAAGATTCTACTCGTAAATTAGCCACGTTAAAATAGAAATTATTCAAACCCTTGCATCTAAATTCAATATCTGGCCGTAGTAGCCCCATAAATGATTCTAAATTTTGATGATTTCAGTTTGGTTTTAAATTTAATATTAGTCATTTTATAGGTTCAACGGATTAAATTTTAATCAGTATATGCCCTGTGGCATAAATCAATTCTTTATTGATCAAAGCTTACGATTTGACTTATGACTGCAGTATATAGCTCCATATCCCAAATTTGCTCTTTATGCGTTATTTTAAACTTTTATAAATTTCTTGTTTGTAAAACATATCTAATAAAAAGCTGAAATAGCTTTTCACAATAGCGTATCAAGTCAAAGCTCCGAAGAACTGCAGGGCAAATAGCCGTACATGTAATTTGTTTCTTGATGTAAACTTGATATAATAACAATTTATTGAAATGATTTTGGTTTACACGTAGACTGTATAACCGTATCTTTGCATGTGCACGGCAATTAATGTTCAAGCCAGAAGATTGAATAGCAATAGAAATTATAATGATTAAGATTACATTTAATCACGAATAAAATCAGAAATGTGTACGCGATCACACTGTACTGGCGAAAGTTTTGAACTTTCTGTATTGGAAAATTGACTTAAAGCTCAAGTAACAATTCTTTTCAAGACAATATAAACTTTATTACTTTGAAAAGGTGTACTTATTAAATAAAGGATGGTAAGATATCAAATGAGAAGATAAAATTGTTATTGAAACAGTCATATTTGTAATAATAACATATACTGAATGTTTTTACATGCGAATACGCCGATATCGCATAAAATGAATAATAGGGCAACAACCCTTTAAGTTGTAAAGGATGATTAATTTAGTAATCAAAAATTTTAATTGCAATAAAATTAAAAGGAGAGTGATTTCAAAAATAATAGAGAGAAAAGTTGAAATAACAATCATTGACATATATAATACGGGGTTGTTATTAACTTGTTAGGGTTGGAATGATTAATATTCTAAAAATAGCTGACAATATAACCTACTCATACTTTGCAAGCATTATCATTGCCTCATGAGAATTATGTAAAAGTATAAGTATAATTTATCTCATAGCTCCATGAGAAATAGGTAATAACTATATTAACTTTATATCAATATATTAATACAAGACAAGGTGTCATAGTTTAAAATTGTGACTAATTGGACCAAGATTGAACAACTTGTGACTATTTCCATAGAAAGCCAGCGCAAATAGCAAGTTGATCATAATATTGGATGTAGGAGATATTATCAATTTATAAAAGAGAATATTTTAAGGATATACAATAAGACATTAGACAATATCAAGACCGTTAATTATTTCGTCTTACGATGACTGCTAGGGCAAGCATAAAAGATGTGAATCGCAAAATAGTCTAATTGAGTTGTTTTCGATAAGAGAACATTCCTTAATTGATACCGTATGATTAATAAATTAACTTATAAATTGAATTGAGAATAGCTACCAGTCAACATGTTCCGACTTTGTAAGAATATTAACTATAGCAATTAAAATCTTTTAGTCCTTATCATAAGAGTTCGATAGTGTTTTGATGACACGTTTTGCTAGAGATATTATTGTTTACATAAATATTATTTTAAAAGGTCAATGTCGAACAAAAATGTCATTGTATTATATAAGAAGTAAAACTTGACAAATTTCTGGCTCATAAAATGATCCTACATGTCTTTCATTCATGAAAAAGGTTTAAATCGAGCGCGTAAATTAAAGAGGGATTCGATCCTCGTCTATCGAATGGCAATGCAATTCTGATGTTGAAATAACCTTCAGAATCTTGATCAAATTGTTTAGCCAGAGTTTTTGTTCAAATTATTTATTATCATTTGCGAGGATGAACTTGATTGCTGGTCTTTCTTTGATCTTGAGGGTTGTTGTCTGGTTGAACAGAATCAGCGCTGGCATCGGCAAGTACTTCCACAGGTTTTGTCTTCAAAGAATTTTTAAAATTATAACTAGTAATTTCCGCCATTGCTATTTGCCGATTATTTAATTCAGGGCGGTAATAGATAACATATATTTTAGGAAGAAACAAACATAGCATTGGTGAAATACCAAAAAAAAGAGTGGTTAAAGCTGTGATACTATCTGCAATTTCACCGAATAGAATCACGGTCGTTGGAATAGTACATATTTCGACAACAACGATCAAGATGGACGATAAATAAATATATCTAGATTCATTAAAATTTTCAGGTAACAATCGTGCTCTAAATGCTAGAACCAAACAAGCTGAGCCAATCAAACATAGCCATACAATTAAGTTTAGACTACTATATCTATTGGGAATCTGACATATAAATATCAGCTGCTTATTTGTTACTTCATGATGAATAGTAATCGGGAAGGCAAAAACTAAACATAATAAAATCGCATTAGCGATGAATAGCACCGTGAAAATAAGTAATACTTGACTGGTATTACGAGTAAAATGAATAATCTTGGTTTTTCTTCCAATAACATTCTTAAATATTAAGGATACTTGATTTGTCTTACAAAATATGGTGATAAATATACCAACTTGGCTAGTAGTAGAAGAGAACATTCTTGCTAGACAAATTGGAATAGATGGAGGCAGTATGTACAAGAAAGCTGTTGGAATGCACGCTATGATAAACAACAATAGTATATTGATTAAGATGAAATTGGATCCTTTAACTACAGGGAAATTTCTATGGCGAATCATGACTATCCAAATGCCCATTACTACAAACAAATTAGCCGAAGCTAATATAATAAATGTAATAGCTAAAGGTCTATCAAATTTCGATTGAATTAATACAGGATCAGCACATTTTGTATTATTATCATTGGGTAGGGTTACATCGGGACATAATTGGCAATGGGGACTATTGCTCTCATTTGAGATCATATTTTGGGGACATTTTCGACATTTCCAACAGCATGGTCGTAATGATAGTGAAATATTAGGATCTTGATATAAATAATAGCCAGGAGGGCAATCGCTGGAACATTTCGACAAAGGACTGTTAAACCATGATCGATTTCCATTCCATATAATGTTCCTTTTATTGATCATTAGACCTTGCGTTTTATTCCAGTACCCTACTTCGACAATTTTGACCTTTGCCTGTGAATTAGAAGTTGTTCTTTGTAAATTGATAACATCAAAGTAAGATTCTACCGCACCATCAGATCGGAAGGTAATATCTGGACTTGTTACCCCGGTAAATCGTATATTTCTTAAAACTTTGTTAAATTGTTGACGATTGAAACTAGTATTATATCCAGATGGACAGTGAGTTGTATTACAACCAAGAGCCTTATGCAATGCTTGAGCATATGCCAAAGTTGCGTCAATAACATATCCAGCGACAAAATCTGCTTTAAAAAACGAATTTAAAACTTCTTGTTTTATAACCCTATCTACTGTACAATTTTCTAAAATTGAATCGAAATCCAATCCTAAATGATTTAATTTTTCGCGACACAGTTCTATAAACCACGGGTTTTCAAGGTTGTTGCAGAAATCAAGTTGGTTAAGATAGTTTTTAAAGCCATGTAATGCTTCATTGCTAAATGTTATGCCTATCGCTCCTCCAATAATCTCGGCTCGAATAGTGTGGATACGAGGCGAACTTAACCAATTATAGGTACCCACAAAGGTAATACCGACCACATTTTGAGCTTCTGCTTGCTTAAGCAGATCATAAATGATTGATTCTTGTCCAAATAAAACAGCAACACGTGAATTGGATTGGCTCTTCCATTTTGTAACAATGTCAATCAGATCAGATGTCGTATAATTGTCATAAATTCTAGAAACAGTATGGTAACATATACCGTGAGTTTGGGCCAAAGTAGATATCATTTGATAGGAATTTTCTACCTCTGCAGTACCAGCAATGACTATGGATATCCAGTTCCATTGGAAAACTTTAACGATATCAAAAATAATTTGCCTATGAATCGTGGAGGATGCCGAGGTTCGGTAGAAATAAGGAAAATGTTTACGATCGCTTAATAGGGAAGATATGGAAAAGTAACTAATTTGAGAATAGCCAAGACTACTCGTAAGCGAAGCTAAAGAAGTGGTGATAAAATCCGATCTCTCTCCTACAACTCCCACCACATGTCCTGGAGAATTCTCTTCAATACTTGTACCACTTGCAGATAATGTACGACATAAAATTTTAGAAGAATTTAAATTACGTCCATTTTGACAGTGAGCTAAATAGGACTGCCTTTGTTTATCTTGTATTAAATGAGAGGCCAATTTTGTGATGGCTACTTCTCGTGACGAACAGGAGTCGATCAAGGTCCAGCCAAGATTGATACCTGGCAGCAATTTGGTATTATTATTGATTATATTATTAAGAGCATAGATCATAGCTTGTGTAAGTTGTATATCTCCGGTACTTAATTGGCTGCATCGGCGAGAAGTAGCATTAAAATGCAGAGAGTTGGAAAAAATACCTATTAAGCGAAAGTCGCCAGAATTGACATGTTCTATTTGTGATTGAATTTCAGGAATATCGGCAAATAATTGCTGAAAAATTAAAAGCCATCGAAATATTGAATAAGCACCAAAAGGCAAATAACGAAGGCTCCGAATTGACATTTTAAACTGAAATATGGAAATTAATAGCAGTTTACGGAAAAAATGTTATGATTTCTTCGATCCTCGAAGCGAATCTAATTGTTCTGTTATCGTCCAATGAAGAATAATTTATCGGATATATTACTAGACTATTTTCCTGTAAAATTCTTTTGCCTCAATCGTAACGTTAATCAAATTAATTGTAATGGTAGTTGTTTAGAAATAATTTTATACAGATAATTGCAATGGTTACAATGATAACTGTTTAAAGAAAGAATAGTGCTTATTGTTCTATAAGTAAGAAAGATAACCTTTCTGGAAAATACCTTTTCATACTAAAGATCCGGCTGATCACAATATAGTATTCAAATCTATTTGAATGTTGAAAACAGATTATAATATTGGTTTGGACATCTTGCAATTTTATGAGCAAGTAATACAATTTTTGCTGTTACTTCTTGTTAGTTTCGTTTCGGAGATCATGTACTGGCTTAAAAGTAATCCAATTATGCTTTAACAGATATTTTAATTTCAGCACATGGTATACGGGACGGATAATTAAGCGTTATTGACTTAACTGATATTTTCACAATAAATGATAATTGTAATTTATCATATAAAAAGAGATTTTTAAGATTTTCAGACTGAATTACCGGTAGACCTTCTACTATTGAAATTTATGCTTGCTCTGTATAGAAACTGAATTACATCTCTACAGAATTGTTTATTTCCTATTATTTGATATCGTATTGCAATGACTTGAGAAAAGAATGAAAAATCAAAATACTAAATGTTGTCGACTGAATTACCTTAGTTAGGAAGTTCGTTTTTAACTATAGTCGGGTTAACTTAAATAGAAATATTATGTTGGTAATAACTTATACTTTTCTACTTTAATGCAACAATTAACTATGAATGCTACTGTTTGACATTATTGTAGAGCGTAAAGAAATCTTAAACAATCTTTACTAAAACATTCGCGAACAGATTCAATACTGTTGATAGAGCAGCAAAACTGAACAAATCTGTAACAAAATGGAAGTTCATTTTACAAAGAATTTGAAAATTATCTCAAGTTATAGCTAAGTGTGTGAAGTGATTGAATTACTAATCATAGTGATTCAAGTTGACAAAAGAAATTGGAATACTAAATTGTAGCTTCAGCGGACAATCTTTCAAGCGGAAAAAAAGTTCTACTTAAATTGACAGCGTGGGAAAAAAATCTTCAACATGCAATACCAGAAAATAAGGCGTTTGTAAAGTTGGAGTCGATGTGAATTTTAACTCTTTTTTTATTTCTTTTCATTCTTACTTAATCCTTTCAAGTAATAAATGATATTATAAACAGTTACGGAGAGTGTATAAAGA